CACACACACACATTGATCCATACTGACACACACACACATTGATCCATACTGACACATTGATCCATAATGACACACACACACACACACACATACGTTGATCCATACTGACACACACACATTGATCCATACTGACACACACACACATTGATCCATAATGACACATTGATCCATACTGACACACACACACATTATTTGATCCATACTGACCCCGCATTGATCCATACTAACACACGCACACACACACACACATTGTATACTGACACCTTTGCATTGATCCCGCATACTGACACATTGATCCATAGCGAAGCGCACACGCACACACACACACACACACATTGATCCATACTCACACATTGACTGATCCATACTGACACATTGATCCCATAATGACACACACACACACACACACACACATTGATCCATACTCACACATTGATCCATGCAGCGCACACATTGATCCATACCCCGACACACACACACATTGATCCCATACTGACACATTGATCCATACGAAGCACACACACACACACACACACACACACACGATGATCCATACTACGGCATTGATCCATGCGAGCGCACACACACACATTGATCCATACCCGAGCACACACACACATTGATCCATACTGACACATTGATCCATATTGACACACACACACATTGATCCATACCGACACACACACACACACATTGATCCATACTGACACATTGATCCATACTGACACACACACACACACACATTGATCCATACTGACACATTGATCCATACTGACACACACACACTGACACATTAATCCATACTGACACATTAATCCATACTGACACACACACACACACATTGATCCATACTGACACACACACACACACATTGATCCATACTGACACATTGATCCATACTGACACACACATTGATCCATACGGACACATTGATCCATACTGACACATTGATCCATACTGACACACACATTGATCCATACTGACACATTGATCCATACTGACACACACATTGATCCATACTGACACATTGATCCATACTGACACACACACACACACACACACACATTGATGCATACTGACACATTGATCCATACTGACACACACACACACATTGATCCTTACTGACACATTGAGCCATACTGACACACACACACATTGATCCATACTGACACACACACTACAAAAATACACGCCAAACACACTCACAACTACACCCTCAAATATAAACACTCTAAGAATCAGTACAATTAACATGAAATGCCTAGGTTCCTCTGCTCACTGAGCCTACCTTGCTCCTTCCCAGCAGCTTCCTTCCAGCTCTCTCACAGGGCTTCCTGCCTGACAGCACTCTACACACAGGAAGCGAGACTTCGGAAAACTCGTGTGGGCTGCCCTGCTGAGCCTGATTACCGTCACATGCTTCCTATGTGTGAAGGCTGTCAGGCAGGGACAGAGACTTCCATCCTTCCTGCACTCACTCCAGGCTCCTCCTGCCATCCTCCCTGCTCATTGTCTCACTCGCGAGCAGCATTGAAAGTTCAATGGATCAATGTGTGTGTGTGTGTGTGTTTGTGTTAGTATGGATCAATGTGTCAGTATGGATCAATGTGTGTATCCTGGTGGGCCAGTCCGGCCCTGCGTTGTACATTAGAGGTTTAGGCAACATTTGCAGAAATTGTCGTGGGTTGTCATTGGGGGCATACATATTTACAATGCTATAGGTCACATTGTTGAGGTTACAAATCAATATGAGGTAACCTTTACTGACTGTAACTACCGTGATTAGTTGAAAAATTACTGAATGGTGTACTAAAATGCTTATGCCCCTGGATTTGTGAGCATACATGGAGTGGTGTTGGTGTGGGTATTCTTTAAGCCCCAAAGAAGGAGCTTTAGAGTGTTTAAAATGTGTCTCCTGGGTGGCGAGGCCTCATGTTACCGCAGCTCCTGCTCCGGATGGCGGTTTCTTACCTATTACCGACCGAAACAAGCACCAATTGACCTGAAACCGGCCACTGGGCACCAGGGGACAACACCAGCTACACATCCATGCCGAACACGATGCCTTTCGTGTCAGCCTTACACACGCGACATCTGCGGCCTGCAAGCCTGGCTAGCGTGGGAGAGACGGCCGCTGTCCTGCCACGGCAACCAACAGGGACTCTTAAAAAGGGCACCTGTTCCCCCCCCCTTTAGACTGGCAGGGGTTATCCCAGTCCACAGCGAGAAGAGCAAAACTCACCTGGCGAAAAAAGCACCCACGCGGTTCAAGATGGCCACCGACAATCCCGCTATGCGTGGAGAAGTGACAACTGCCCGAGACTGGGAAACTAAATTCCTGATTGCATTTGATGAGATCTGCCAGCGGTTCTGGAGGAGAGTGGAGGCAAGGAGTTGACGACCGACTACATCTGCTCCCTAGGCTCAACTTCCTGGACAAAACTCTGGCTGGGCGCCCCACTCCCTGGCGTAGATTTAAGAGGCTATGAGCACCAACCTGCAGACCCAACAAAGGGAGGTCATACAGGCACCTGAGATCCCGAAACTCACGCCTGACAGCGACACGAAGGCGGACCCCTCCAAGAGAGACACGGGCCCCCTGTGCGAAAATATTCTGAAAAAGGAAGAAATTGTGTGTTAATATAAACCGTAATAGGTTTATAACAAAAGACGTATGTGGCAGATGTTCCACTCCTCTAGATGCCAAGAAAGAGCCTACATTCTTTATGCCAATCGTATGAGGTATAGAAGAGTATAGGGCTTCCACGTCAAGACTACATAATGTAGCTCCTTGTGGTACTCTTAGAGATCTCAGACACCTCAATGTGTGTCCTTGATGACTTTTAGATAAGACATTAAGTTCTCCACATATGGTCTTAGGATCTTATCTATGTAAATACTGCCCTTACTCGTAAAGTTATTGGAACCTGATACTATAGGGCGTGTTGTTAAGACTTCATACTGCTTATGCACTTTCGGAAGGCAATAGAAAGTGGACTGCTCCATATGCTTTTGTGACAATTTTTGAGTTTCTATAGCTCCCCTCTAGGATTCACATATATTTTTTCTTTTGAGTGATTGTTCATTTTGTATATTTGTAATCAATAAAGTATGTTTTTTATTTAATTCAGGGGACAACACCAGCTACACATCCATGCCGAACACGATGCCTTTCGTGTCAGCCTTACACACGCGACATCTGCGGCCTGCAAGCCTGGCTAGCGTGGGAGAGACGGCCGCTGTCCTGCCACGGCAACCAACAGGGACTCTTAAAAAGGGCACCTGTTCCCCCCCCCCCTTTAGACTGGCAGGGGTTATCCCAGTCCACAGCGAGAAGAGCAAAACTCACCTGGCGAAAAAAGCACCCACGCGGTTCAAGATGGCCACCGACAATCCCGCTATGCGTGGAGAAGTGACAACTGCCCGAGACTGGGAAACTAAATTCCTGATTGCATTTGATGAGATCTGCCAGCGGTTCTGGAGGAGAGTGGAGGCAAGGAGTTGACGACCGACTACATCTGCTCCCTAGGCTCAACTTCCTGGACAAAACTCTGGCTGGGCGCCCCACTCCCTGGCGTAGATTTAAGAGGCTATGAGCACCAACCTGCAGACCCAACAAAGGGAGGTCATACAGGCACCCGAGATCCCGAAACTCACGCCTGACAGCGACACGAAGGCGGACCCCTCCAAGAGAGACACGGGCCCCCTGTGCGACCCAGGCTGGAGATGTTTTTATGGTACTCATCACGCTGATGAAACTGGCCGGTGGGTCCCAAAGTGGAACTCTGCCATAACCCCACAGCTTTCCGGAGAACCCCCACCCAAGGGACAGATCCGCCACACACGACCATGTTGCCTACCAGAGGCTTAAAACGGCACCGGCTGTGACGAACGACACTGAGAGGAAGCACCCAGCCCAAACAAGGCATCGGATGACCCCACAGAGACTGAGACTTCATGCCAGGCAAGGTGCCCACAGTCACCCGCCCTCAATATGCCTCAACTGACCCCCACTACCATTCTATCTGAGGACTTATGATTTCTCATCGTTATTTTATATTCTCATGTTGGCTCGCACAGGGGATCACAGGGAGGTCTTACTCATAGGTTACAACGTTTAAAATTAATCATTGTTCACCATTGCTTATCATTCTTTGCTCATGCAATGTCTCTGAATAAGTTTCGCCACGCATCCTGTCTAATGACATGAAATACACAGTACACTGAGTGTGAAACATACCTTAGTACGCTACACTAACAAGCTTTAGGGCACAGACACCCATCTCAGGACTTAACCTTAATGTACCTGTGCATGGAATGCTTATCTCAAAGCTTCAGTTGATTACCGGTATATCATTCATAGATCCTATATCCTGTGGTTCCCTCATTAATTTCTGTGAATAAAAATATAAAAACATGTAAAATAAAATAGTTTAATACTTGTATTAGTCATTGCTGTCAAACATACTAAGTCTCTTACTAATACAACTAGTTGCCATGTCACTTATGGCAAACTCAGAGCTATACCAAATATCTCTTTTGGTAAAATCGTGTTCCTCTTCTGCCTGGATTATTTTATTCTCATAATCCTCATTGGACACCAATTGACAAATTGGTAAACTCAATTTTCACAATTTTTTATAATTTTTATCAAAGGTTTGGGAAATGTCAACCTTATATGATAATAGATGAGGGTATTTGTAGTAATTATATCAATATAATTTTTAATTGGGAACCAGTTTAGGACCCAGGGCCAGCCTTAGTGGTGTGTGAGATGTGCGGCCTCACAGGGCGCCATGGCAGTAGGGGGCACTGTGCGGCCGACACTGCTCACACATGGCTGGAATTAAAGTGTGTGCACCTGCTACCCGGGTGGAGGATTTCATTTTTCTCCACCCGGGACTATCCCAAAAATGTGGGTGGGGCCTAACAGAAGAACTCCAGGAGCTGCAACTGCCTCCTCTCCTCGCTTGCAGCTCATTATGGAGAGAGGTAACTTTCCATTTGTGTGGTTGTCTCCTCTGTGTGTGACTGTCTCCTCTGTTTGCCTGTGTGTGTGACTGTAACTGTGTGTGTGACTGTCTACCTGTGTGTGTATGTAACTGTGTGACTATCTGACTGTGTGTGTGACTGTCTGTCTGTGTGTGTAACTGTAACTGTGTGTGACTGTCTGTCTGTGTGTGTGACTGTAACTGTGTGTGACTGTCTGCCTGTGTGTGTGACTGTAACAGTGTGTGACTATCTGACTGTGTGTGTGACTGTCTGTGTGTGTGACAGTAACTGTGTGACTGTAACTGTGTGTGATTGTCTGCCTGCATGTGACTGTAACTGTGACTGTCTGCCTGTGTGTGACTGAAACTGTGTGTGAGTGTCTTCCTCTGTGTGTGACTGTACCTGTGTGTGTCTGTAACTCTGTGTGACTGCAACTCTGTCTGCCTATGTGTGTGTATGACTGACTGTCTGCCTGTGTGTGTGACGGTTAATGTGAGTGTGACTGATACTGTGTGTGTGACTGTAACTCTGTGTGTCTGTCTGCCTGTGTGTGACTGCAACTGTGTGTGTTTGTGTGGCTGTCTGAATGTGTGCAGGGCCGGACTGGGGATACAAAGCAGCCCTGGAAAAAAAATTTGTGCCAGCCCCATAAGTCACTGCACCATATATTGTCGCGTGTAATATGTAAGGCTATGTCTTGCCAGGACAGATGATTGAGTAATATATATATATATATATATATATATATATATATATATATATCTTTTTCTAATATAAAATATTGGTCCTTTCAGGGTAAAACGTTTAATTATACAGTAAGCATACGCACATGCAGACACAGGCAATTTCACTGACATTTCAGTGACACACACA